TCACCTGAATCTTGTTAGCATCAGTTTAAAGTATTCACAGTATGAACAATACTTACAGTATTGTAAAGAATAAAACCAACCCCCCTTTTTTTTTCTTGCACAATATGTTCACCTGAATCTTGTTAGCATCAGTTTAAAGTATTCACAGTATGAACAATACTTACAGTATTGTAAAGAATAAAACCAACCCCCCTTTTTTTTTCTTGCACAATATGTTCACCTGAATCTTGTTAGCATCAGTTTAAAGTATTCACAGTATGAACAATACTTACAGTATTGTAAAGAATAAAACCAACCCCCCTTTTTTTTTCTTGCACAATATGTTCACCTGAATCTTGTTAGCATCAGTTTAAAGTATTCACAGTATGAACAATACTTACAGTATTGTAAAGAATAAAAACATTTTAAAATCATGTAATGATGATTTATATGGATATAAGATTCAAAATGTTTAACAAGTAATAGAATTAATGTTCTACACTCTACATGTCTGTTTTTTATGTAACTTGTATAGAGCTAACACCCAATGAAGGCTTGTGGGCAAAAATGTGTGTATTATTTAAAAAAAAAAAAGAAGCAGTTTTTATATTTTGAGAACATCGACCATTAAATCTATTACATGGTGAACTGTAATACTCCCATAAAGGCAATACATAAATCAATCAAAGTGTTTAACTACTTTTTTAGTTTGCCTGAGATAAATAGGGCTCACCCCCATGTGTCAAAAAACATTTGCCCGAGTTAACTTGGGTAAACCATTTCTTGTAGTATTTTTAATTATTTGTCCAAACTTATTTCCATGTTATCATGTATTACAATAAGCTAACCTGTCTTTCTTTAGCATATTTCCAAAAAAAATATATATATATTTTACCCTAGAGGGTTTAACATATTTTTTTTTTTTTTTACAAGTTGTTTTTGTAATAAATAATGTTTAAAAACAATCAAAATAATTCATAGCAAATATTATAACAATTATAAATATGCAATTTTTTGCTTTTGTTATTGTACAACATTAATAAGTAACCTTGGGCTCATGGATACTACGACTTCATTTCAGACAGACCTGTTCAACACCATGGGACAAGCCTTCAAATTCAAAATGGATGGTGTGGTTGTATGGGAAAAACAGGCTGCAGTTTTAACTAAATATGGATGTTTTCGACTTCAGCATTATGTTCAACAGTTCCTTGGCCCTTTGGCTAAATACTTAAGTAGTCTCTAATAAGTATTGTGTACAAAAATGTATGTACAAAAAAAACACATGTTGTTTCACTCCATTTCAAAATTCCCCAATTCTGTCATCTTGAAGAAGAACGTTCAGCTTCCTTGCAATTCTTAACAAATAGTCAAACTTAGATTCAAGACTTTTCAAGCTGTAATGAGTTTATACTGAAGGAAACTTTATTATAAGTCTGGTTGTAGAGACACTTCAGCATTCCAACATCTGCTTTCACCAGTGCCGAAACATCATCCTGCAAAACGTTACTTCAGCCAAGCAGTTCAAACTTTTAAATTCCTCTCCAGTGTTAATAGTGGCAACTTTCATGTATAATATCACCAAATAAAGCATGTTTGAATTTATACGACAATATGAAAGCTGCTCCTCAAACCAGCAACTGTTACGCCAGTTCTTTGAGCAGAATGTACGCTTCTCATGCAACGTGAACACAAGGGCTATCTGCACTAGCCGTCCCTAATTTAGCAGTGAAAGACTAGAGGGAAGGCAACTAGTCATCACCACCAACTCTTGGGTTACTCTTTTATCAACGAAATAGTGGGGATTGACCATCACATTATAATGCCCCCACGGCTGAAAGGGCAAGCATGTTTGGTGTGATGGGGATTCGAACCCATGACCCTCAGATTGCGAGTCGAGCACCCTAACCACCTGGCCATGCCGGGCAATTACAAAACTAGAAAGGCAATCAAAGCATTGTACAAGAAAAACACAACAGAATTATCATTAAATTATTACCAGCAGAGTTATTTGTAAATAATATGTTTAAGCAACTAACAAGCTCAAAACATTAAAATGTAATAGGCACTAAAATTGTATTATGAATACTGTACTTAAACAAACCAGGTACTGCTATTGTTTGGTGGGATAAAAAAAGTAATTTAGAAAGTGACTCTGTCTGGGCACTCATTAAACATGATCTCATGACAGGGCACAAAATTAATAAGTACATAGAGTCCAATGCTCCTAAAAGTCACATACAGCATGTAAAAATTTAAAAGGATGTGCCAGACTAGCATGTAAAGTGTCACAGTGACAGTATCATACTCAATAAAAGAAAACTGCCATTTCCAGTCAGTATAAAAATGAGTGGTTAGTTGGTGGTTTGTTTATTGGTGCAAAAATCACATAGGCTGTCTGTGCCAAAGAATGTTTTATTTTGTGTGAAAGCAAGCATTAAAAAAATATAAAACTTTTTTTTTAAACTTGATAAAAACATTAAGTGGGATTTAAAATGATAAAAATATAATCAATGTGGATAGTGTCATTGTTAATGAAACTGTCCAATTTAAAGGATCAAATTGAGTTAAAATGTGTTGAAAATGGTACTGTCGCTCGGCATTAAAGTGAAATGTAGACAACTGTGACTTGAGTGTCGAAGTGCTCACATGCTGATGGATCTGTTCCTTGTAAACGAAAACAATGTGCAAGAAAATTGTGGCCATTGAGGAGTCTTGCTAAGACAACTTCCTTTTTCTGATTCCTACACAAACTATAAGCTAATCAGCAAAAGCTTGTTGAGTTGTTGATGATCACAAATCATATGCCAACTGGTGTGAAGCATTGCCTTGATCTGGCCAAGATGACAGAAAGCTTATTTCCTTGGATTCCACCATGGCCAGGTATACAGAAAAACTAAATAGAGATTGATAATAATGATAAATGGGTCAGTCGTGTCCAAGAGAAATAGGTAAGAACTAAGTATAGAGAGCTATGCATGTCGGTATAGATGGTATAATTAGTATATGACTTAGCTTCTATATGATCCAGAGCAAGAGAGATGTTGCATATAACTCAGCAATGAGCACAGAATCTGTAGAATGGATCCTGTAAGCAATTACAGAGCCCACAGCAAACCGTGGCAGAGCCCACAGCATTGGATAGTTCATAACAATGCTTTAAAAAGGTGTTAATTAAATAGAAGTCCAAACTTTCAGTCATGGGTTGATCATTGTATTCTGCAGTAACATCCAAAGTCAGACCCATCTCAATCAACTCTGCCTAAATACAAAGGCCAAACATAGGAAAAACAGCCAATATTTCCAAAATGCATAAAGACGCTGCCAAGTGGAATGCTGTGGTATGAATAAGAGCTTTACAGCAAAGAAAGTTGGAAGTGTCAAAAATAATCTGGAAATTCGTGGGACTTTGTGTATAAACCCTGAACTAGAAGTGTGGAAAGTTCCTGTGCAGAGCTGAAGCCTTTAAGAAGTACCCAACATAAAGATTTTGTATTTTTGTACCAGGCATTTGATTTCATGGTCCAAAACCATTGCAGGATTTATTTTGTTTCAATTGTCTAATAACCTATGGATCATTTAATTCACTTCTACTGAGTTCCCAAATAAACCAACGTCTGACCAGGATTTTAATCCGTTCTAGGATTTACTGAAAATGCAATTTACAGGCTAGTACCATATTAAGAAATCAACCTTAGCTAACACTAGTTATTAACGTCATGGGAGGGGTGGGGGGGTGGTGTATAAACTGAAACAACAATTACATCCAATACTAGAGTAAGTAATTAGCAGTTTATGCATGTAATTTTCCAACCTATGATATAATACACAAAACATTATATAGCTCAGATCACCAACTTTCACGTATTATAGATTTTTCCCGAGGCTGGTATCTAGGCTTTCCGATTGGCATTAAATACCTGTTATTTCATTGCTTTTACTGTCAGTCTAGTCTAAGCCTAGATTTTGTATAAGGCAAATGGTAATTATGTATTTACCTGTAGAGATTTAGAGCCCACGAGTTGACAGTGGGTGGTGTTGACTAACTGCCTTTCCTCTATCTAGTCTGTCTCTTCAGAATTAGGGAAAGCTTGAGTAGATAGCCCTCGAGTAGCTTTGTACAAAATTCAACAAACAACAACAACAGCCTCTTTTCTCTTTGCATTTTGTTTTAATTGGCTAACTTAGATGTATGTAGATCTAGATTTGGATCTAAGTGGTTGCATATGGACACTGATTTTCTAGATCTAAACGTATATTTATCCCTTGGATTGCATAATTCCTTAAAAGAATAAATAATGAGAAAACATGCTTTTACTGTAGCAATACTGTAACCAAATAATGGGATTTGACTGTCACCCTTAAAATGCACCCACAGCCCCAAAATGCAATGTGAGATTTCTTGGGATAGGATAACATGGTGCAAACATTAGATCCACAGTCCAGCATGCTAACCACTGAAAGAGAGACAGTGGATACACAGTCCAGCATGCTAACCACTGAAAGGGAGACAGTGGATCCACAGTCTGGCATGGTAACCACTGAAAGGGAGACAGTGGATCCACAGTCTGGCATGGTAACCACTGAAAGGGAGACAGTGGATCCACAGTCTGGCATGGTAACCACTGAAAGGGAGACAGTGGATCCACAGTCCAGCATGCTAACTACTGAAAGGGAGACAGTGGATCCACAGTCCGGCATGCTAACCACTGAAAGGGAGACAGTGGATCCACAGTCCAGCATGCTAACTACTGAAAGGGAGACAGTGGATACCACAGTCCAGCATGCTAACTACTGAAAGGGATACAGTAGGATACCACAGTCCGACATGCTAGT